GTCCCCGTGGAAGAGTCAAGTACCAACTATTAGCACTGCCACCAACAATGAATAATTTCATTCATTCATTTGTTCTTATGTTGGGTTAGTCAGAGGCTAACTAGTGTAGCATGGAGCCTACACTCAGCATGGACTTTGGGTCTTGCTTATAATCTTAGATCTGTCACTTATTGGCCATGCTGGCTTGGAAAAGTTATTTAACCTCTCCTAGCTTTAGTTTACTCATCCATAAAATCAAGATGATAACGTCTACCTAATAACATTTGCTGAGTGCTTACAGTGTGCACTGCCATTTAAATCCCACTTTACAGATGAGGAAATGGATACACGGAGAGTAAGGATGCATAGATAGGAAGTGTAGAACCAGGAGGTGGTCATAGGCGATCTGATCCCATGGCTCTTGTGCTTAGTGTGGTGCTTTATAACCTCACGGGTGTGGCGGTGGTCAGCACAAGGCCATATGGAAGGATCACGTGTAATGTGTCTGGTACACAGCAGGTACTGAATATGCTAATTATTGTTAGCAAATATTTTTGAGCATCTAATATGTCAAAAGTATAGAGTTAAGCTTTGGGGATGAACAGAGATACAGACTCTGCCCTCAAGTCACTCCCAGTACGTTAGTCCCACCAGATATTTTGGGCCAAGAGGCAAACAGACAATCATAAACTAGCACTGCTAAAAGAAACCACAGAAGGCATAGCACTTCCTCACTTTACAAGTAAGGAAGTCGAGGCCCAAAGGTGGGGGTGAGGGGGTGAGTGACTCAAGGTAGAAGCTTGGACAAGAATCTAGATCTCCAGGGGGTGCCTGGGTGGCTCAGTCGGTTGGGCCTCCACTCAGGTCATGATCTTGTGGTCCGTGGGTTTGAGCCCCGCGTCGGGCTCTGTGCTGACAGCTCAGAACCTGGAGCCTGTTTCAGATTCTGGGTCTCCCTCTCTCTCTGCCCCTCCTCCACTCGCTCTCACTCTCTCTCTCAAAAATAAACATTAAAAAAAAAAAAACAACCAAGAATCTAGATCTACACCAGAATGCTGTGTCCTAGGTATAAGAAAGTGCTCCAAAAAGGAGGAGATGGTCCTTATCCAAGGCCTATGTGCACTTACAAAGCAGCTTTCCTTGGGGAGCAGCAGATGGGGAGGGGGTTGCTGACAGGTGGAGAGAAGCCCACCAGATTTCTCTGCACATCTGGCTCCCCAAGTCTGCAACTCTTCAGTATCATTGTGTCTAAAACTTCCTCTTCCCTCCTTGTTTTCCAGTGAGGATGGAGGTCCCATTCCAAGCTACTTTTCTCACTAGGATGTGTCCTTGGCTAAATGATGGAATCTCTCTCATTTTGGGGGTCCTTCTCTTAAAAAAAAAACATAAAAACTGGTGGCTGGACTAGGGTCCCTTCCAGCTCTAAAATGACATGAGTCTGGGGTGCTTGGATGGCTCAGTTGGTTGAGCATCTGACTCCAGCTCAGGTCATGGTCTCCCCGTTCATGGGTTCGAGCCCCACGGCCACCTTTGCACTGACAGCCCAGAGCTTGCTTCAGAATCTCTGTCTCCTTCTCTCCCTGCCCCTCCCACACTCAGCGTGGGCACACATGCTCTCTCAAAAATAAACATTAAAAAAATTTTTTTAAATGACCTGGGTCTTGTGGGGAATGCCTTCAGAGCATATTTACTCAGCTGGCTAACCTGAAAATTAGAGGATTTTTTGTTTGCCAAGGGGAGGTCCCGCCGCACCCTAGGTTGCGGCCACCAGAGGGCAGCAGCAGGGCCTTGAGCACCTGGGCAGGTGGCCACGTCGGGGGGCTGGCAAGGGGGGGGGGGAGGCCTACAGGAAGAGAAGCAGGCTTTCTCCTCCAACGTCGCCTGGGGCCCTGAAGTTTTCCTGCTGTGAATGCCAAACTCACTTCTTTAGCAAAGGGCTGCCAGCCAGGTTGGGATGAGACGAGGCAGCGGTGTTGCAAATTAAGTCTAGCACCAAAAAGATAAAAGACCAAGCCTAAAAAAGAAATTGAATTCTAGGAAAGTAAATATTTTATGAAAAATTGAAAATGTATCGCTGTCCTCGTTTAAATTGCCTACAGCTCACATCATCAGAGACAGAGCTTTGAGAAGAGCCGGGAGCATTTTACAGGCTGGTAGGAAGTTTGGCAGGCTAAAAGGCGATTTTAAAAACTCATTTGTAAGGCTCGTGTGTTAGACCAGTAGTATTTCCTAGAGCTACTTGAGAAGTGTCCGTTTCTTTTGCTCATGTTTAGCAAGCCCTTACTCAGGAAAGAATTGGTTCTGGAAGTTTCTGAAAAGCCAACACTGTTCTGTTTTGTTTTCAGAGGGGAAAATAGCCCAAATTACCATGTGTCTATTGCATGAAAAGCACCAGACTGGGTGCCTTAAGGTGTGGAAAGGAGAGGAAGCCCAGTGAGGTGAGGTGTGCTGGGCACTGGCACCGGCCCATCCCCTCCAGAGTTCCAATCAGCAATAATCACACTCCAGATCATCACAAAAGCCCATAGGGTCCAGATGACATATCCAAGGGCCTTTCAATTACATAATAGACCTTGATTCCTTGAGAAGCCAGTTCCCATTAGATTATAGTCTTGCAAAAGTTCTAGAATACCAAGAACCAAGACTTAAGGATATGAACTTTATATAGAAAGATAACCTTGCTCACCTACTGGCAATAGAACTGGTGCTTCAATTTCTTGTTGCCCCCACCCTCAGGGCCATGGAGGAGTGACGGTAGGGATTGAGCTGTCCCTGAAGGGAGCTGTGGAGCACTTGCCTGGTTTCAGGAGCTAAATGAAGAGGACTGATGGCTAATGTTCAATGTTTGTGCTTTGGAGGGCACACAGCATTCACAGCTTGATGGAGGCCATTTGCCCAGAATTTATTTTAGTTATGGAAGATTACACATAAGGAGAAAATTGTCTGATCACGTCTCTGGGACATGAATTTAAGGGAATGGTGGGTGCTCTCTGTTGAAGATCTTCAAACTTTGTTTTTTGGAAAAGACTGAAGTGAGTAGGTTAAATATGAACAGAGACTCCGGGTTTCAAGTCTATGTAACAGAACTGCTCAGCTCCAGGGATTGGACATGGGGTTGGGCTTTGGTAGCTTCCGGTGGAAGATGTGGCCCTCCATGAATGGGTGTTGGGGTTGGATGCCCAGCTGCCGCTTCTCTGCACAGCTCCTCACAGCTTTGCCTCATTTGCAAACATCTGAGGGATTAGTTAATATTAGTAGATATGTGTTGTCAGTAAATAGACTTTGTGAGAGCTGCCAGCACCTGCTGGTGCTAAGTGCTCATGTGACTCACTGGCTCCGAGTCTTCCTCTCTGCCTCCTTGTCTCAAAGGCTCTTGGCGCAGATGTGGGGAGAGCCAGTTGTACTGAAAGAGGACTAGAAGAAAGGTCCTGGTAACCTTCACCATGCTTGAAGAAGCCAAGAAGAAGCCTCATGAAGAGGCCATGTATGGGAGTCAGGCCAAAAGCTGAAGTCCCAGCAGACAGCTAGCCTCTGTTGCCAGGACTAAGACATTCCTAGATGACCTCTGCTTTCAAACCACCCTAGCTTTCAAGGCTTCTCAGCGGAAGCCCTAGGCACCACGGGACTGAGACCAGTCATCTCTATGTGTTCTATCTGCATTCCTGACCTGCAGGGTCTGTGAGCGTAATAAAATGATGGTTTCTTGCCACTAAGTTTTGGGATGATTTGTTATGCAGCTACGGTTAACAGGGATACCCAGTGTCATCCTTAGTTACGTAAACCAATCGATTCTCTTTGTGGCTTAAGCTGGTTTGAACTGAGTTTCTGTCCCTTGCAACTAAAGGAATCTTGAAGAAACCCTCTAGTCTGTACATATGATCAACTGTTGCAAATCAGTTACTCAATTTACCAAAAAAGTAATTTTTCATGTGGTCTTCATGGAAAAAGTACAGGAAAAATAGTGAGGAGGAGAGTCAGAATGAGGGAAAGGGTCTAAGAAAAAGGGCCTTCTTTTTGTTTTCTTCAACCCGTGAATTCATGGGTTGCCTTAGTGCCTCATTTAACCCATTTAATATTTTTTCTGAGCGGTGAGTTCTGGCCTCAGAACTGCTGAGTGACTTTGACAAGTCATGGTACTTTGCTGGGTCTATTTCTTTTTTTAGAGGGTGGTAGTGGAGGGAGCTATTCCTTCATCCTCAAAATGAGGGAATGGGGCTAGCTGTGGTATTTATTAATATATCTAATGATAACTATCCAGTTATCAGTTTACGTGTTTCCCACACATTCCTCATTTTGCCCCACCACATCCCTACGCAGCACACGTTATCAGCCACTTTATGGTTCTTTCCTGGACTAAGATTCCATCAATACTTTCTCTTGTGCCTTTCACTCTCCTACCCTCTGAGAACACAAGTCACGTGTGACAGGTTCCTTGTTTTCAAGAAGCTTCTGTTCAGATTGGAAAGGTAAAGCTAGACTAGACATTAAATTATTATGGTCTGAACGGAGGGACACACGATAATGCAATAGGAGCTATGTTTGTTACCTGCCACGTAACAAATGACCACAAACTTGGCAGCTTAAAACAACACACATTTGTTATTTCATAGTTTTTGTGGGTGAGGAGTCTGGGTTCAATTTAGCCAAGTCCCCTGTGGCGTCTCACAAGCCTGCAGTCAAGATGCTGGCGTGGCTCTGTTTCTTACTGGAGCCCAGGATCTTCTCCCAAGCTGATGCAGGTATTGGCAGAATTTCTTCCAGACACCGGACTGAGGGTCCTGTTTTCTTGCTGTCAGCTAGGGGCGAGTCTCAGCTCCCAGAGGCCCCTGCTGCTCCCTGCCATGGGTCTTCTCCATAAGCAAATCACAACATGGCAGCTTTCTTCCTCAGAGCCAGCAGGAGACTCTCTGACCCCAGTCTCCTAAGAAGTGTTATATAATGTAACTGTCATCATAGGAGTGACACACATCACCTTTGTCATGTTCTATTGCCTAAAAGCAAGCCACAAGTCCTGCCCCCCCCCGCCCCCCGCAGTGGGAGATTATACGAGTGTGTGACTCTCGGGAAGGTGTGTGTGTGTGTGTGTGTGTGTGTGTGTGTGTGAGATGTCACTGGAAGGTGTATTTGCCACAGGAATCTAAAAAAAAAAAAAAGAGAAGTCAGAGTGAATTGGAATCCTCAGGGGAGGCTTTACTGAGGGATTTAAGCAAGAGCTTGAAGGAGTAGAATTTAGACCAGCAAAGAGGAAAAGAGGTGGGCCATCTAGGATCAAAGGACTATACACAAACAAAGGTTTGAAGGTGGGGTTGGGGAGAACCAGCAGGTTGGGAGAACCTGCTGACTTTGTACATCATAAAGGGTAGGAGGAACTTTTTTTTTCTTTAACCAAAAGAAAGCTGGGTAGTGAAGAGAGTCCTGGCCATGGTGTCAGAAAATCTGGGTTCAGTACTGCTATCAACTAGCAGTTTATAGTGGGGCCAGCTGGTTAGCTGAGCCTGGTTTCCAGTAGGTACTTCTATTTACCTTGCTATTGGGAGGACCACGTAAACTCTTGGGTTGGAAGTGCTCTGCAAACGGTCTGGGTCCCATTTCCAAAGGCAGCTTCGGTGAGTTCCAAGACCCCACTCTCTCCTAGCCCCCTAACCCCCATCCCCCGCTCTGGGAATCCTCTTTCTCAGTCCGTCACCAGGTCTCTTTCCTCTTTAAGTCTCCTGACCGGCTAGAGGGGGCAACATTCCAGGTTTCGGACTTGGCACCCTTCTCACTTTGTTACCCGCTCTGTTTTGGTGCATCATCCACCACCCCCTACCACCTGGCGCCCACGCTCACCAATCCATGCTCGGGCCAGACCCCTTCCCCAGCGCGATTCACGTGTCCACCCAATTAGTCATCCATCCTGCCTGGATCTCCCCCAAACCCCTCCAATCCACACCCGGAACTGAATTTCTTGTCCTCCCCGCTGGCCTCTTCCTCTTCCCTCGGTCTTGGGCAATCACACCGCCAAGTCAAGGCTTTTAGGCCATTCTTTCCTGCCCCGCCCTCACAGAGGGGCTCGGAGGGGAGCCAAGCGCCTTCCGCCCCGGGGGCCTCCTCCCACCACCCTTGCCCAAGACTCGATCTCGTCAATTCTCGCGGGAATCACGCCACCAACTTCTCAGTCGGTACGACCTCGTTTTGTTCACGCTTCCTGCAGGATGAACATTCTGAAACACAAATATAGTAATATGTCTGCTCTGCTTAAAAGTATTCAGAGGCCCCTTAAATACTGGGGAATGAAGTTCGAACTCTTGGACACGATGATCAATATCTGAATACCTCCTTTTATTCTGGCCCACCTGCCCCGTCCCCTCGGCCGCAGTCCTACCGAACTGCCGGCGGCTTTCACTCTGCACCCTGCTCTTTCAAATCTCTGTTTGAACGCACTGTTCCCCCGGTCAGAAGTGCCCTTCCCCACCATCCTTCTCTGCGTTACTAACCCTTCTTACCCATGATTACTCAGTTTAGCGGTTCCGTTTTGAAGGCCCCGCTCCTATGGGCACTCTTGCCAGCTGTGCAGGTCTCTGTATCACAGCTCTCATTACTCCAGAGACCCAAGGCCAGTGTTGTAATTTCTTCTTTAGCTGTCTCTCTTGCTACATAGTGAGTTCTTGAGAGGAGTAATGGTGTCTTCGTTTATTTTGATGTTCTGATCACCTTTTCTTCCAATCTCATCCTTTCTACATATTTTATGTATTTATTTTTTGAATAGGCAACACATTCATCTAAAAATTCCAAAGCTACAAAAAACTATATAATGAAAAGTTTCCCTCCAACCCGTCCCCACCCCAGCTGCCCAGTCCCCTTCCCCAGAGGCAATCAATATTAGCAGTTTCTGGTGAATACTTCCAGAGATACAAATACTTCCACAGATGAAAACATACCTATGGTGCCCCTTTTATACCAAAATGGTGTCATGTTCTACAGGCTGTGCTGTACCTTGTTTCCACTTATGTACTGTACCCACCAGATCATTTCAGTACCTAAGGAGCTTCCTTATTCTTTATTTACAGTTTTCAATTTTCCATTGTGGTTGTATCCTAAGTTAACACATAAACATTAGGTTATTTCCAGTCTTTTGCAAATACAGATAATACTGCAACGACTATCTTCACACAAATGTCACTTCACACATGTAGAAGTTGGACCTTAGAATGAATTCCTAGAAGTGGACTTGCCAGATCAAAGCGTGTGTGCATTTGTGAGTTTCGCCATGTCATATTGCCCTTCATGGAGTTTAGATACCATCTGACTTATCTTTGTATCCCTAGCCACTATTAGAGAGTCTAGAACTCTCTAATCACAACATGGCAGCTTTGTAATGCTGTGTTGCTGTAATAGTTGTGTAACTATTGACACTCTTCTTCATTAGCTTGGTTATAAAATAAGGTCATACTAACTTTTATGTTCTTTTTTAAAAAAAATTTTTTTAACGTTTATTTATTTTTTGAGACAGAGAGAGACAGATCATTAACGGAGGAGGGTCAGAGAGAGAGGGAGACACAGAATCTGAAACAGGCTCCAGGCTCCGAGCTGTCAGCACAGCGCTCCACACAGGGCTCGAACTCACAGGCCACAAGATCATGACGTGAGCCAAAGTCGGATGCTCAACAGACTGAGCCACCCAGGCACCCCT